CGCTGTCAGGGTAAAATTTCCCCTGTAGCACACTGGATGGCGTACGTCCGTCTTCATCAACTCAGTCGTTGCAGACGTTAAAATAGTATTATAAGTGTTTCATGTAATTCATATATTTTTAGATTTTCGAGTGATATGAGGTTCTACGTCAAAAAAGGATAGCTACAACGCGAGGAAAAAAATTTGTGCCATCTAAATCTGCCGTCCTTTGCTCCAAACATTTCAGTGAAGAAGATGTTGACCGAACACCCACATCGTGTATTTCATTGAGCGGTGGTAACAGCCGGTGTTTCTGAAGCAACGAAGAGAAAATTACCTGTACGAAGAACACTTTTAAACGGAAAGACCCCAAAGTAATCACGCCCGATAAACCAATCCTGAAAAGAACGCTTGAAGTCAGCCAGACACAATTAGTATTCACACGAAAGAAGGTACAACTTCAGGCTAATTAAAGTCGTCTTATGAGGAGAAGCACTAACTTACAGAATATTATCACAGATTTAAGGAGCAACGATCTTTAAAAGTACCGTACTAATAGTTTAAGTGTCTTAGAAAACTGCGCACGTGGTGTGACTGACCTTTCGAAAAGACAAATTGCTATGAAGAGTGATAATCCTGTACTCCTTTGACCTTGAATTCTTCTACATCCAAGAACTATCGCCAAATGGTATCAGTACGTTGATAGTCAACCAGGGTTTACTTCTTCAGATTTTTCAGCATTAAAATCAACAGCAGAAAGTATTGGAAATACACCTATGGTATGCTCTTTATTGATGGGTGAAATACCAATAAGAGAACGTGTGGAATGGGACGGTCACGGATATGGGGACTGGGTTAGATGACGACAGTTTACCAATAGCTAAAGAAGCATTAACTGTCAATTTAGTAAAACAATGTTTAGAAAAACTTCACTCCGTAGGCGTAACAGTTATGTCACTAACATTTGATGGTGCTGCTTCAAATCTGGCTAAGATTAAACATCTTGGATGCAATCTGGAACCGTTTGGTAACTTTAAAACCCAGTTTCCCGACCCTTCAACTCAAAATAGTATCTCAGTTTTCGTAGATCCGTGTCACATGTTGAAACTCGTTAGAAATACTTTAGCTGATAAGGGTTCCTTGGCAGGTGGTGATAGCCAGTTAGGGAAATGGAACTATATCGAAGCCCTCCATAAATTTCAAGAGAATGAAGGGTTTCGTATTGGTAATAATTTACGATCAGCGCATATAAATTGGTATAAAAAGAAAATGAATGTTAAGTGATTCAGTGTCCTGTTCTTTAGAATTTTGTATTAAAGAGTAAATTTCTGCGTTCAATCACCGCGAAGCTACAATTAAATTTATTAGGATTTCCAATACCCTTTTCGATATTCTAAATTCTAGAAATCTCAAAGCATATAGTTAGAAATGTCCATTTCAAGAAAGAAATTCTACAAAATATGTAAATATTTTAATGAAGTTAGATCACATATGATGTCTTCAAAGCAATCATGTAATGGTAATAGAAAATACAAACTAATAGAACAACAGGATTTATAGGTTTTATTATAATTATATATCGATAGCTTGTTAAGTCTTTATCAGAATACAGTTGCATGTCAACAAGTTGGTTAAAATATTTGCTTTCATTTATAATCAGATAAGACCACGTACTTCGTTGAAATTGTTTACCACTGCAAACAGTGCCTATACTGTATCCAGTAATTTTATTAATGTAAATTCTGACCCTCCATCCGTATCCATTATTAAATCAACCCTTAGTAAAATATCTAAATGAATGATTACGTTTATATTCCTGATCCTATCCATTTGTCGTTATGTTCTTTAAAAATAGTGGCTTATATTGCTGGATTTGTTGTATATAGACTGCAAAAGAGTTTGCGTTGTGAAAGTGCATTGGTACACCTTTTAATTGAAATAAAAGGTAAAGGCAGTTTACTATTTCCATTTTATGATCATATTAATATATGCATTACATGTAACCAGTTCTTTAGACAGTATCTGATTCATATATCCTTATCTAGTCAACTGTCATAGTATTATAAAATCGGTTTTACATTCATATTTGTGTCAACCAATATTTTCTTATTCTTTAGGCTCACACAACCCAATTGTAATCATGTTATATTGTTTATTAAATCGATTGCTGAGAAATATTTACAAATTAAATATTTTTTGCGCGAAAACAATACACTGCATCATTGCGACACATTGTAAAGACTAAAAGTCGACAGATGTACACAAAACTTATCCTATTTTCAGGACAATAATTGTAACTTTGACGAAACAAAGGTCTCATTCGATTTTTTCCATTGACGTTTAATATGTGATTAAGATAATTGTAATGTCTTGTTACATAAAGAGCCGCGTATATTCATCATGTCTTTGTAAATAGGCTTACCGAACGGAATTGACCAATTTGTGGATTAGTATCATAATAGAGATTAACCTTTTTATACGCCCACATTGAAATGTGGTCGTATATTGTCGTCGCCCCCGTCCGTCCGTCCGGCGTCGACAATTGCTTGTGGACGCTCTAGAGGCTAAAGTTAATATCTGATTGACTTTAAATTTATACACAGTGTTTAAGGTCTTGAGACGAAGAAGCCTATTGATTTTCAGCGATTTCCAATATTTGCTGCCAGAGTTATGGCCCTTGATCACTTTGAAAAATCTTGTGGCCGCTCTAGAGGCCAAAGTTAATATCCGATTGAGTTTAAATTTATACACAGTGTTTGAGGTCATGAGACGAAGATTTCTATTGATTTTCAACGATTTCCGATAATTACTGCCAAAGTTATGGCCCTTGATCACTTTGCAAAATCTTGTGATGCTCTAAAGGCTAAAGTTATAATCCGATTGACTTCAGATTGATACACAGAGTTTAAGATCTTGAGACGAACAAGTATATTGATTTTCAATGAATTTTTATGACTTGAACAGTTAAATCCATAATATTAAAAGCTTTGCATACAAAACGTTAACATGGGGCAGAACTTTATAAAAACCAAACAAATTCTAATAGTTTTCTGATAATTACTTCGTGAGTTGTTGCTCTTAATCAGATTTTAGTGTATTATAAATGTTTCATTACCGAAAAAAGTAAAATTATGCGATAACCCTTGTTGACTACCCGGACGATTTAGTTGCTGTGGGCGTATGTTTCGTTGCCTGGCAACCTATCTTTAACAATAATAAGTGTTTCTTACTGGGGATTCTGAAGTGAGAATCACACCCAGAGTCTTTAAATGAAATAAATGTAATGCATTATTGTTCTTAAATAAGCTGATTGCTTTGATTTTCATTGGATTGGATTTAGGGTTGAAGGTAACATAATTTCTCCATTAACACTAATAGTTAATTAAGCCCCCGACATTGCCTCATTTATACATACTCCTCGCAGTGTTTCGTTTGATTAGAGCTAATCCCACTTAACACTGATGTAAAGGAACCAAATTTCTGTGCCAAATTATGACTGGTCAATAGTCCGATTAATAACCAATAGCTAACTGCGTAACAATAGGCTATCATTACGCTTTAAACAGAGCTCCAAATAAGACCAAATTAAATATGTTTCCATAGCGTTACGTCATGACTCGCGATTTTATTGTGCCCAATTAACCAGTGCATAGCCGGATATTTTAGAAAAACTATTTGCGTTACAAACGAGGATATCAAGACGGATACAATGTAAACAATACTGTTTGGAGACGACCAATATTTTTACCGTTTTTAATACCTTAAATCACTGCCCAAATGATTTATTATAATTTAATAATTTGCTATCTATATCTGTATATATGCTGCCTTTCATGGTGTTAAACAAATTTCCTCTAGGATATTAAAGTCTTAGTTTTATATATTCCACACAACCAGCTAGTGGGCTTCTTGATGGCGTCACTGGCTTCAATCATCATAATCAAAGCCCTATTATTATAGGGAAAGTTGTGGGCCCCAACGCCATGGCGTCATACAGCTTTACTTAACAAAACGTTTTATTTTTTTCTTTCACTATGAAGAAAGATGCTAAATAAAATACACTAAAATTCGAACTATTCGACAATATTGTCTAATAATTAACTAACTAGACAATTTTGTTCAATAATTAACTAACTAGACAGTTTTATAAAGATGGGGATTCTCTTTGATTCAAATATAATACGTTTATACGTTGAGTTTAACGGCCTGTTTTTCTACACCATTTGGGTCAATGAAGACGGATATAATTTATGTCACGATGTCAAGCTTTTTTTTTATGTGTGCGCCATTATCGACACGGGACCTCGGTTTATCGTAACATCCAAACGACTAGACGAAGTTCTTACTACATATACGGCTTTGGTCATAATTGTAAAATGGCGTCATGCCCTGGAGTCTCCAGTTCAGTAAAGCTTCTTGATAGAACATAATAACAGTCGATAATTAATTTTATCACACAATAATACATACTACAGTAGATATCGCTTGTGTGATAAATTCCATAATCTACTGCGATATCTCCTTAGGAGATATCACTTTACATGAATTTGATTGGTCAGTTAAAAAGGAACTACATGTTTGTATTTTCAAAGAACAGTTCATTTTTTATTATTAAAAATGAATTATTTTTATTTAATTGACCTTGATGGAACACTTGGTCAATATAAAGGACTTTGCAATGGTTTAATTGCTATCAAAAAATGATGTATCACTACGCCGCTATGTAATCAGGTTCAGTAAAAGTGAAGTCTATAGCAAAGAATTATATTTATTTATTTGTGCATTTAAGAAAGGATTGGGTGATAAATAAAATCTCCTACTCGTCTTTTTTTATATCAAAAAAATATCAACACTCGTCGATAAAGTAAAAAAAACTCGGCAGAACCTCGGTTTTTTACTTTATCGACATGTGTTGAGCCTAGTTTTTTTTTTACTTTATCGACGAGTGTTGATATGTTTTGATATCAAAAAAGGCTCGTAGGAGATTCTCTATATATCTGTATCAAATCAAATTACAGTACCTTCATCCTATATTTCGGTATATTAGTGATGGGTTTCATCCAGTCAGCCGGTTCATAATGAAACAATTCATCCCGGTTGTCTTCTCTATAAAATGTTTCTTCTTTCATCATCTTCGTGTGAATAATTTTTGCATTTGAACAAAACGGTCAGGTTTATATCTACCACCATAACAAAGAAAAACACATTAACGTTTTTAATCCGTTTTCTATGGTGGATGATAGTGGCCATGTAAAATCGCGTCCCTTTTGGTTGAAATAGTACATGTAGTTATATCGAAAATATTGTACAATTTGTAAGCATAAGATTAGGATACAAAGACAAGCCAAGTATAGGCTTATATTAATAGGTTTGGTATATACAATTTCAAATAATATGTGATATAGACAAAAACCAATTACAGTATTTTAGTTACGGTACAAATAGGTAGGTAAATAATTTTAAATAAATAAATACGGAGCCTATACAGGAGATACCCAGGAAAAAGCCTAGGCGAGATCACTGATGACGGAGAAATCGCCTCCGATGCAAGGAAATGGAAAACGCCCCCCCCCCCCACTCAATATCATTTTTCTGCACACACTCCTATACATTGTACTATAGACTTGACTAACAATCAACCATATTCCTCTTTTCGCCAGCCCCCCCCCCCTCCTTCCTCAGGTACTCACTCCCCGCCACTCTTTCTTCGCCAGGCACCCACACACCCTCTCCCTCTTGCAAGCAGCTCAGAATTGAAAATTGGCCACCACTAGCCGTTACCTAGACTACGTCACGTACAAGAGAGATGTCAACATTTTGCTGATAAAAAAAACCTGTGCGATGCACATTCATTCTGAAAAATACTATTATAGTGCAAAAGTAAAAAATAAATTGCCTAATTCACAGGCTGGCTCGTTATTCGTCATTAGCGAATCCCAAATAACGTGCCAACACGTTATTCGGAATTCGGCTGTAACGCATATATACTATTCAAAAAAAGTAGGGGATATTTGATTTTGGGGGCATAATACTAAAATATGCAAATGACTACGAAAAAAGTCACTATAGAACCTAACAGAAGAAACATTTCCAGTTACATGTGACGCCCAAACGCACCAATAGCTACCGCATGGAATGCAGGTGATGCTTGGGATCATCATGGGGGTCCAACCCAAGATTTGCACGACTCTGACTTTGAATGTTACAGTCATTGTGGCATTGAATTCCAGGATGGAAACATCAGTTTAATTGTTTTAGTGACCAGAAAACAAATTTTGATATGCGTCGGCTTACCCAAAATGAAAGGTTACGTGCCCTTGGCATGCTACAGATCGGCACAACACAGGCGGTTGTGGCGCGGACGATGAATGTTTCTAAGTCTGTCATAAGCAGGCTATGGTCCAGATACCGTGATACACAATCTGTACAGGACAGACCACGCTCAGGTCGACCAAGGGCGACAACTCAAGCCCAGGATCGATTTATCCGTACCTTGGCCTTGAGAAATCGTGTCATCACAGCAAATCAGATCAGCGCTCGTCTTCAAACAGACACTGGTGTGAGAGTGAGTGGCCAGACGATTCGGAATCGACTGCATAGGGGTCACCTTCGCGCCCGACGTCCTCGCGTGATCCCTTGTTTGAGAGATCATCACATTCAGGCAAGACGTCGTTGGTGTAGGGATCGTCAACACTGGGATAATCGACGCTGGAGCAATGTGATGTTTTCAGTTGAGTCAAGGTTCACTGTTGATTTTTTGGACAGACGTAGGAGGGTGTGGCGTCGTCGAAACGAGCGCTTCCAAGACGTTAACGTCATCAGACATGATCGATTTGGGGGTGGTTCTGTTATGGTGTGGGGAGGCATCACTGTTGCTGGAAGAACGGCTTTACATGTTGTTGCAGGGCGTGTTACAGGCAAGTACTACCGGGACAACATCTTGGCAGTCCATGTTGTGCCGTTCGCACGACGTCATGGCCGCCGTTTCATCTTCCAGGATGACAACGCAAGATGTCACAGGGCCAGGATCGTTACAGGTTACCTCCAACAACAGAACATCACCACATTACCTTGGCCAGCACTGAGTCCTGACCTCTCCCCCATCGAGCATGTCTGGGACATGCTTGGACAGAGGTTACGTCAACGTCAACAACGTCCTGCCAATGTCCAAGAACTTGCTGCTGCGTTGCAACAGGAATGGGACAATCTGGACCAAAATGACCTTAGACGTCTCATTAGGAGTATGCCACGTCGGATCAATGCTTGTTTGGCAAACAGAGGAGGATTTACCCGTTACTGACTTGGTTGTGATGCTGTGGTAACTTTGCTGTTTGACCCCTGGTATCATTTTACCCTTATAATGGTCAGTCTGTGCCTTACTTAGTCTAACGATCATTTGGAATAAATCGATGAATGTGAACTTCATTTCATTTTGTCATTTGTTTCTTCGTCAGTTTCATTAGGTGACTTTAATAACACTTAAAAATCAAATATCCCCTACTTTTTTTGAATAGTATACGAAAGAAAACTGTCCTGTGCACGCCAACAAACCAGTCAAAACCCTACTCGCTTGACAAACGGTCGTCTGTCGATCACTTACCTCTACGGTCGGCGGTAGAAAGGAAATGGTCGGATGCAAGGTAGTCCGGCCTGTTTTATTGCCGATTCTCGAATAACGTGCTGACTCAATATTCGGGATTTGGCAATAACACAGTGTAGGAGGGGGCTGCCCCGTGCTCGCCAGCAAACCAGTCAACACCCTATTCGCTTGACAAACGGTCGTCTCCTTACTAGTCGGACACCCAATGTTCACTTCCACCTACTTTCGGAGGCAGCGACGATATGGTCGGATGCAAGGTACGCCTGTCTGTTTTAGTGCCGAATCCCAAATAACGTGCTGGCTCGGTATTCGAATCCCGAATAATGTGCTGGCTGTTATTCGCGAATCCCGAATAACGAGTCGGCACGTTATTCGAGATTCGGCAATAACGCGGGTGAGTGAGGGAGAGGACTGCCCCGTGCATGCCAACAAATTACTCGCTTGAGAAACTTTCGTCTCCTTGCTAGATCCCGAATAACGTGGTGGCACTAAAACAGACCGGCCTACCTTGCATCCGACCATTTCATCGCTAGGAGTACGTAAACGTTGGGTGGCCGACTAGCACGAAGGCGATCGCGGAGAAATATTTGGTGACCTCTCTCCTGATAATCGGTGATATTGCTAAGAGTTATCTCCCTTTAATTAATTTGCTGACCTTAGGTCGTAGACGTTTTTCCTAAACTCTGCATCTTTTGGATTTTTTTGCAAATCTGATTAAAACACAGATTCTATTTCTATTAAGTGAAAAACAAATTCAAACTACCCCATTGCCCAACGTTGCCATACCTTGATATTATAAGGGATATTGCTAAGAGTTACCTCGACCCTTTAATTAATCCGTTGACCTTGACCTTAGTTCTCCGACTTTTTCCTTAACACTGCATCTTATTAAAACACAGATCTATATTTCATTTTTTTATAGTTCAGAATTTCGATTTTGTTGACTTCACTACACTGAGATCTGGAAGAGTCGATCGAGGGTCATCTCTCACCCGGATTCGAAATGAAGTTAGCAAACATATTTCTAGAACCAATAAAAAACATGATACATATATAATAATTGTTACTTTGTATTAGAAAGTAACATTCTAAGGCATATTAATGCATAATATATATAATAGACGAAAAAAAATACAATAAGTTATTACCGTACACATACCAAAATATCGCAGACTAGGCTAAGTGAGTGCACCACAAAGGGTACGTATTACTCCACTAACAGGCACAATCCTGCTAATTTGTTATGTCTTCTTTGTAGTTTAGTGTTTAGATGCTAACAATACCACATTATCTCACACGCCAAGTGAACACGTTGAAAAGGGTACGTCTGTGAAATGAAGCTATCAAACATTTTCCTAGCGCCAATAAAAAGATGATATATATTTAACACTATAATAATTGTTACCTTTTTATTAGAAAATAACATTTAAGGCATATTAATGCATAATATATAAAATAATAAGTTATTACCGTACACCTACTAATAAAACTCTCACACGCTAGTAAACATGTCTTTAACTTCTTTTGTAAAAACAATATGCTAACTTCGTTTCAAAGTGGATTCTATCAACTAATTGACTTAACTCACTCTTTTTGTCAAGCCATAGATCACGGAAAGTATACAAGAGCAGCGTTCTGTGACATCAGCAAGACTGGGCCCGATTCCTAGAAAATTCTTAAGCACGTTCTTGTGCTTAGATTTAAGTAGACTTTGCATTTAAGTAAACTTACCTTATTTTGTGTTCCCAGAAAATTCTTAAGAACGTTCTTGTGCTTAGATTTTAAGTAGACTTCATTGTAAGCACAAGAACGTTATTGTGCGTTCCAAAAAAAAACTTAAGCACAACTTCGTTCTTAAACATAGTCAATCTAAGCACAAGTCCCAAGCAAAAGACGGCTGATCGTAGAGTTATTCGACGGCATTTCCGACACCTTTTTATACCAAAGAGACAATTACAAGACAGAGAAAATCCTTCTCCAGAAGAAATTATTAATACTATAGAAAATTTCGCTTCTAGGCCTACCCTGAAACCATTTTATTTATTTGCCAATTAGTAAACAATAGGCTACAAACACACGGGCTACTTAAGATCAGGCGCTCTCACAATTATTCAGTTAGTTTGTATGTGTCTGCGTTTTTTTATCTTGTGGCACATTTTATATGTGTATAGGGGACATGTCAAATGCATCTAAATCAACCTAGGAATATATATTATGACGTCAATGAAGCAGACGACAAATTTATGACGTAATTCGCATACCAAAGTTGTTTTTGTGACGTTAAAGAGCATCGTAGTCTCAGTTTATGGTAAACTTTACCAGTCACAATGTGCTTAGACTTATACTTGACTTGTGCTTACGTAAGAATGGTCTTGAGAATTTTCTAGGGACGGTATTTTTACAGACGTAAGAAAAGTGAAGCATGACTTTGTGCTTACTTTAAGAATTTCTAGGAACCGGGCCCTGGAGGGCGTCTGGTATAGGAGCGGACCCGCTAGATTAGTTTATCGATTACTTA